TTGCAAAAGTTAATGCGATTGGTTTGTTATAATTTGGAAAGACTTTAGAAATGACTTTATAAATAGAAGAACCCTTTTTGCGCATTGATATTTTTGATAAAATAAATAAATTACATGGTATCGTTATCTTGTTATTTATTATAAACAATTTTATAATCCTTCCAGTCCTACGTCAGTCATTTGTTAATCAACGATATTATGTAAAAACATAGTACAAATTAATATCGTTCAACGTTCTAGCGTTGAAATATATTATTTTTGTACATAAGTATCAATATATTGATTATAACGAACGTAAAATATATGAAAATCAATCAATATAAATGTTGAATCAAAAATTATCCCGAATGAACGATACATATAGTATTTTTTACACGTAATGCACAAGGAAATCTCGTTAATTGATAGAATACGTTAGCGTTAGTATCCGTTATTATTTCATGACATTTATAAAAGATTTTATTTCAATTTACGGCAGAACTTTGTCATTATATCTTATAGACGAGAAAAGTTGAATTTATAACTCTCAGTTTAACGTAAGTATATCACATATGCGTCGATAAAATTATAAATAACTATTTTTATAATTGAAAAATGATGTTAAATAAATGTTGATTGAGAGACGTGATAATTAAATAATATTATTTAGGGAATAGAAAAAGAAGAAATGAAATTCCTATTCTTTGGATCGTGTAAATTAGGTTTAATGCGATGTAATGAAGAAAAAAAAGTAAACTAGTTAATGATTAACAAGAAAAGCGCAAAACGCGTACGTAGTTGTTATAGTAAAAATAGTAAATATCTAAAAGAGACGAATATATTGCGCGTTTGTCGCGTATTGAAGGATGGGTACGTTTGTTACAGGTACGACCTCCAATCCTCTCTTATTCCACTTCGACACCCCCTGCTCGTCCAGGACAGTTAACAAGCATAGTTCAAACACTCGTTAGAGGTACTTGATCGTTGTTTCAAACAAGCCGGTGCGGAGGCACTGTTCAAAGGTAAAAGCTGCTTACAACGAAAACGAGTCTGAAATGTACGAGACATAAGACGAACAATTGTGTTGGTAAGGCAATTAAACGCGTTGCCATATGAGCATCCCTAGCTATTCCACGAAGCTTTTTAGCGTAAACTTTATAAAAAAAAAAAAAAGATTTCCATTGTTTTTTCTCGTTCTATAAATTATTTGACAAGGAAGATCAAAAATATTATTAATATGTCTTATGATCAAATTAATGTTTTAAATAAATACAAATGTAATAAACGTAATTCTATCGTTTTAAAACATGAGTAAAATTGTATTTATAAACTCGAGGAAATTCTACGTAATGGCATATCGTATTTCAATTAGTCGATCTAATTAAACTCGACGTAATTTTGTCTTAACTTCATAAACATCCAAATAATTTCATGATAATCATTTTTAAAGTCTCATTAGATTTTTCTGAAGAACATGAACGATTTCGATCGTTTTCCCATTCGAAGAGAAAGTTTGAAATATCCCGTGAGAAAACGTATTTCGATGAACTCTGTAGGTACTTTCGCGAAGCTGACACCGTTATATAAAGGAAAAGAGAGAGAGGTCGATAGAAGGAGGGTTCAGGAAAGGCAATGAGAGACCTTCGATATTTTCCTTCTTACGTTCACGAAGGAAAGTAAGCGGAAGCATTCGTAACGTTGCTTCCGCGAATGACTTCGCTTCCTAGGACTGGTTAAAAGGTACGAGTAGAATGGTTAAACGAACGAACGAATCGATCGTCGGTAATAACGTCGGAACGAGACGGGTCTCCATTAATCCAAGGACCTTTAATTAGGGGACGACCGTGACAAACGTTGGAAATTTTTATCTAAACCTTCTTCCTACGGCCAACTCCTCGAGGGGATAATTTTTCCGCTATATTTCATTTCCTTTCTTTTTCGACTCCTGTTTTTTTTTTCTTCTTTTTCTTTTTTTTTTTGGACCGCGGTAGAAAGAGAGAGAGAGAGAGAAAGATATTCTTCCACCATTCGGATACGAAGTCTCGAGAAGTCTCGAGATTCTGTAACTTCCAGCAACCCCTCCGTTCCCAAACCCGGTTTCCAACTCAACCCAACCTCATTCGTGCGCTTAAAGGACCATGCATTTATCGCAGGTTCGTGCCATCTGACCCTAAATTGTAGCCCGAGGAACTCCTTCCCATTACGTCTTCTATTGTTCCTCTCGAATATAAAAAGCCCGCGGCATCTTCGTCGCATTAAAGCGTTTAACCTTTCCGGATATGCCGTCCTCGAGTCGTAACTTTTTTACTAATGCTATTTCTTTTTATCGTAGGACAATCGTAATAATTAGAAGTGCTAGTAAATATCACGATTTATGCGAGCAGCCATTTCAAGTTTAGTTAGTTTATTATCTAATGATTCTATATATTATTACATTATCAAATGAATTATTTTAGATATTCGTTAACGTATAAAAGATGTAATTTTGTTATTTAATTTTTTTATATTAACGAATTCGCAATTGGCATTGTTAGAAATAAATATTTAATTGGATACCGTATACATTAATTTGAAATATAAAACATTAAATGATGAAATAATATTACAATTGAACAAGTTTAACAAGAAGACACGATAAAAATATATCATTCAGCAGTAAAACAAAATAGAACAAATTAATGAACAATTAAAATTCTATATTTAATAACGCAGGGGATAATGTTACCAACATTTAGGTAGAGATTTTTAAATGACGTAGAACTACGTCAACGATATTTAACTAAATTATTTAAAACGACTTAAACGTTATCGAATTTCCAATCTCGAATATAATAAGATTCTATATGGTTTACCTATATGATTATCGAGGGAGTTGTTTTAAGATTTTCGTGAATGTATAATAGTATAGGATATTTTTATCGGTAACTAGCGATTTAAGGAAGTAAAAAACAAGATAAAACATAGATATCGTTAGGTTCCACTCGTCAAGGAGATTACCATTAACTCGATAGTACGTCCCACGAGTCTGAAGGAGCCTGAAGGAGCTAAACTCGGCCCTTGTTACGAAGAGGACTTGCCTCGTTTCAACAACGAGGTTATCGTTAACCCGATAGTTAAGTGCAAAGAAGCTAAAGCGATTTCACGATAGAAATCTCTTTTCGTCTATTCATTGCTTGGATGGAGTCTTGAATCCAAAGTACTTAAATATAGTATATATATATATAATTATATACCTTATATATCTCTAAGGTAAAGGACTGTCAGATCGAAGAGCATATATCGTTCTGAAAATCTGAAAGCTCAGGTCAGAATTTCCTTTAACTATCCGCACCCCCGGGAAATGAATGTAATTTCATTAGACCCCCGCAACGAACCAATTACCGAGAGTACCTAGACTACTCTATACGATATATATATACGGATCTCGACAATGACAATAAATCGAATGGTAATAATCGTAAAAGACGATAAAATGAAGATTGCTTCAAGATTTTTATCGATAAGCCTACCCTTGATTAGGTATTAGATATTATTTTTTTCTTTTTTTTATCAAAGAAATTAATAAGAATTATAGAGAAGAGAAATAGGTTCTATTAAAATAATGATGTAACAATCCTTTCTCCTATACTCTTCTCTCAAAGGGTCATCGACTCGTGGTTAATTTACCTCGGGGAAGGATACACGTGTCCATATGTCAACGACACGTGTGTTCTCTTGCAAGTGGACGTTACGCGTGTACGGTAGAATGACCAACGGATGCGGTACTTTACCGAAAATTCCATGTTCGACTAAATGTGTTGTTCTGTTACTTTTATTTCATTATTATTTTAACACACAAATTATGTAATATTTATTATCACTCTGTCGTATTAATTATATAATAATTATGATTTTCATTTGCTTTGTTGTGATAGAATATAGTAGGACGTATTACATCACGGAATAGTATCGGGTATCAAATGCACCTATCAAATAAATATGTAGTCGTAGAAAATCAATGATAATTCTTATTTCGTTAACAGCAAGTATTATTAAAGTTCTTAAACAATTATTCATTTTAGTGATAATCGATAAAATTATTGTTCGAAATAAACAGCATATTTCGATAAGAGGAAATATCATTAAATTGGATTCCTAAGGGAAAGATAATAGGGAAAGTGACGTTAGATAATTCAGTTGAGTTTTATGAAAATTGTGATACTAATTAGTAATTAAAAAGCTTTCATTGAATATTAAATTAATGATCGAACTATTCGATATCGATTTTATAATGTATTATTCTCTTTCTAATTGCGGTTATGGTATGTATCGGTAAAAGTTTCAAAGTATAAACGTTTGGAGACTACTCTCATGATACTCATCCATTAAACATTAATTTCGATATCCTCAACGGAGAACGAACGGTCGAGCAAATAAATCAAGAGAAAAGTTTTAGCGTACGGTAATTTACACGAGTAGTTTAGTGTCTCCTTTTCCGAGTTCTCTTCGTCGTCCTTCTCTCTCTCTATTTCTCTTTCTCTCTCTCTTCCTCTCTCTTCCTCTCTTCCTCTCTCCTTTCCCAAAGTCTCGTTTACACAACACGATAGTTAAAAAGGAACATTCGCGCATGGATGAAAGAACGCACGTACGTTTATCCATTTTAACCAATTATTTTCCACCATACGCTTTTATTCTCTCTAATATTTCTATCCGAAACATCATCCCCCGTACTCCCTTTATTTTTATTTTTCCGTTATTTTTATCCTTTTTTATTTAGTCTCTTCGCCGTCGATGAAGAATCGTGTACAGACGTTGCGCAAATTAATAAAAATAATAAACGTTAATCCTGTTGGATGAACGATGTCTTTATCTAACATTTTTATTTATCTCTACGGTTATAGTATCTTTTTATATTTTGTACTTTTAACTAAAACAGAATAGTAGGTACCAACTGAATGGTTATTAACTAATGATGTATGTACACGGATCGATTATTTATACGATGGTGACAAGGTAAATTCATATAGTTAGAATATACTCACCCGGATGGTCAGGTTCGTTATTGTTTGCATCTTCGTCCAAGGACGTTGTCCTCTCCGATTGCGCATCAGCCAGAGTCGATACCTCGAAGCACGTCACCACAATCAATATCCACAGCATACTGGCAAACAACAACGTCTCTTGTCTATTTCACCCACGAATCATCCTCGCGAAACTCACGAGACTCGCGTCGTATTCCGTTGGAGAAGCTCCTTCGATGATCAATTTTGCTGTCCGCAACACTGTTCAAAAATATTTTAACATTCATTATTTGTTTATACGAATCATTCGAAATCAAACAAATTGCTTTTTTTAATCGATTAACAATAATCATTTCTATAGACTATCTCTATCGGTAGGTATGAAATATTAATCTGTAGAATAATCGAAAATACCCTGATGAAAATCAGATTATTGCAACCTTGTCGATCGCTGATAAGGGGCAAATTGAGTTTCGCACGGTCGGCTTAGTCGACGAGCACTCGGCGGCGGTGCTCGTCTTGGAAGATTTCATCAGAACACTTTTCAATGGCGAAGCATGGCGATCCACTTTTCCTTATCCTTATTCAGCACACCCTTTTTATATTCTTCCTTGTTGAAATCTAGACGGTATGTCCCGACAGTTTTCATCAAATAAGAAAGAAAAAAAAGACGAAAGGTGCCGAAAGAAAAACGATTCTTTTCGTGCGACGCGACATCTCTTTCTATCATTTCTATTTCCTTTCCTTATTTTTGTTCCCTTTTTTTATCCCGATTTTTCGAATCGATCGAATATGGTTAGACGAATGAATATGTCAGCTTTTTTTTCTCATCGTTCCTTATCATCGGGTTAGAATAATGTTATTATTTTGTTTCAATCGTTCAATTTTATTCTAATGTTCGTATTTAAAATAGGAAATGATCGAGGAAAAGACAAGTTTGGTAATATATCGTAAACGTTTGTAATATCGTTCAATAAAACTTATTGAACGATATTTCTTTGAACGCTTTTTTTTTCAATAACACGATCGAGTTTTTAAAATTAGATGGAAGTACACACAAAGTCTCTTACTACGTAGAAGATTGATATTATCGAGAAGCGTTAGGTCGTACATGCTATTTCTTTTCCCATTACAGGACACGTCCGATGTTCTCGGCAGTTTGCAAGTACTTTTTGCTCTTTCTCCTTTCGCTCTTTCCTTTTCCTCTCGAGCTTTCTTTGAAACGAGAGGACGTGGACAAAGGTTTCTGTCTGTGTAAGTACGGCAAACGTACGGCAAAAGAGACTCGTCCTTCTGACGTGTACCACATCGGAGAACTGGACTCACTTTTCTCCTACTTTCTAGCGAACATTACGTGGACCGGGTACGTGACATAAACTCTGTCCGTTTCGAATGGACCCGCCCTACAATCCTATACGAGATCTTCTTTGAAAATGTCATTTTCTTTCTAATCGTGTTGTACCTTAAGGTTTGACCCTTTTTTTTCCCTTCCTTTCTACATCCTTTACATTCGCGTTATTTTCCTTTTTAAATTCACCTTATTGTACTTTGAGAAAGATTCCTCAATCTTTTTTCGTCTCATCCCATACACGAACTATTATAAATTGTGTTTACTTTCAAACTATTCCAACACTGGTATTCTAATTGAAGTACATAACTATGTAACTTAGAGTCATGTACAATGAAAATAACTCGAAAAAGAAGTACCAAAAATTTGCTTTTATTAATACGAATTGTCAAATTGTGTGAAAGAGTAATGCTACAAAAATGAAGAATGATTTTGATTCTCATAAAAGTACAATGGAACATACGTCGAAAAATCTCACTTGGTTTTGATCTTTTGACGATATATTGAAATGGCCATTGACAGGATCGAATTCGATAGAAATCTTTCTATTTTCAATGTCTCATTGAACGTCAAACGCGAATGACTGTTTGAAAATCAAATAAGTGCAGTTGAATAAACGCGAACAAAACGATTGAAGGGAGGGAGATAATTATTAGCTCGAAGATGGTAATGTAACTAATTGAATTTGGAGCTCGATTAGGCAAGAAAATTACATTATTCGGAAGCAGAAAAAGATTGAAAAAATCTTTTCAAACTAATTTATAGGATTATCTTTGTACCAAGTTAACGGATAAACGATGGAAACTTTTTTCGGATCGAATCTTTTTTATACAATTTTAATTATGCTCGATAGGTATACCTTTATACCTGCGTATCAATAATTCTTACTGGTTTATAATTAAAGTTTATAAATAAAAGTAGATATTAATTTGTTAACAAGATAATATATCCATTATAAAAGAAACATTTGCAAAAACGCACGCACTGTTGTAAAAATTATAAGTTATTGAATAATTTTTTACAAAAATTTGACATAACGTACGATATAATCGATTATAACATTCACGCAAATATATTTCGTATGAATAGATATATTAAATTAAACAATAGTCATATTTTACGTGGTTTAATTCTGAGAATGATGTAAATTTTTCATAGTACAAAAACGTTAAAAGAAAACATGATTGATGCTTTTTAAAGCGGTCGATTTGCTTGAGGAGAACAAACGTTCGAAGTATTCAAATGTTTAGTATAGCGTTAGGAAAGTTCAATGTAATTTACATTTCATGGTCGCTCACGGTTCAATACCTGGAGTTGAAAATACTAGATTTGGTGGCCATTTAAATGAAATTGGGAAAGAATGCAGCCCCGAACGAATGAGCCAACAAACGAAACGTAGAAACGGTTTTCGGACAAACGGGTTGCATAAAGGGTAGAACGATAATGACAAAATACAGCGATGATCGGTGCCATTTCTCACGTGTTGCGAATTGCGATGCATTTTCCATCGACGCGCCCCGTCGAACCAATTTCTGAACGTGCCGAACTATTCCCAACGGGGATTTATCGTACAACGAAATCGTTAAGAACACATCGATCAATGAAACAGACTGAAAATATGGACCCCGAAGAGAATGGAGTAGAGCGATACGTTATTTTCATTCGCTTGTGCCATTGCAAGGAAGATCAAAAATATAAAGAAGAATCGCAACGTCAACAACGTTCTTTCTTTTGTAACCAAAAATATTATGATCAAATCGTATTAACTCTCTTTCCTATGAATTTATGTGCTAAGAGGTTTATCACCCTTCAATCATTCGAATATCCGTCAATCGATAGGATTGTCGTTATGAATCCCTTGAAGGTTCAACTTTAGAAATATTTACATAATTCTGGATGACCATTTTCAATGTAATCAAAGAGAAATTTAATCACTTTTTTCTGAATTCGAAACGAACTCTATACGCAATGAAACATCAAACAACCCTGCTGGGTAATTTTCATGATCGTCAAAGGAATGTGCATGACTGCTATTAAATTTCATGTTTTATTTATCTTGATTACATATACCTGTTCGAGAGAAAATTCGGCAACGTTATTAATCGTCGAGTTCGCTTTAAACACGTAAGAAACTTATTTTTATATTTTTCCCCTAACAATTCTAAAATCTAAAGAATCTATCGTTCGCTATAAACATGAATTAGCTACGAAACATATTATTAGATTTATTTCCGTGTCGTTTTTAACGTAATGAAAATTTTCGTTTCATTATACGATAATTTCAAGGAAAAATATTACCGATTGCCATAGTTGACAACGTCGCTCAAAATTCGATGATGTTTCTATCGCGAAAGATGTCGCGAGCATTTTGTTAACGTTCTGTGAAACGCGCGTTAACGTTGAACATGTTTCAGCGAAAATCGAATGCGTATTACTCGTTTGCTGGTCCTATGTATGTTCCCCTTTTTTAATTTCACGTTCCTTTGTATCGTTCAACTAATAATTCTGCGTCAAATAATCGATCAAGAAATGAAGTTGGAAAGAAAAAAGAAACATCACAAAAGAGGGGTCGGGGAGTGGAAGGGGGAAGTGGGGAAGTGGGAAAGGGGGTTTGGAAACCATTAATTACCTGAGCCGAGAAAATCAGTAGGTATGTCCGAGTATGAAGGATAGAGAGAAAAAACGATCGGCCAATTGATCGATACCGGTACATCGGCAACTCGTGAAACTCTATCCAAGTGGTCAGTGTTTTAAAACATAGTGTTCCTTTAGATGGTGTTCCGTCGGGGGGTGGTTGCGCGTGATCCAAAAATTGGTGGACGTGGCACGGCTCGCGTACGTCGTCGTCGTCGTCGTCGTCGTCGTCGGTTCGCGAACGTAAGAGGAAACACGTGGTTCGAGAGGAGCCGAACGCGCGATCATCGGCAGGAGCTAGCTAGCTACCTAGCTCCACGTTCCCGGCTATTTTTTTTCTCTGCACCACTGTTTTCACTGAGATCTCGCGTATCTCTTCTAATGACAGGACGACGATGCACCTTCGTATCTCACCATACCTTATCCGCTCCGCCTCCTGGCGCACCTCGCACGCGCTGCTATCCGCGATATTCACGCGATCGATATTTCCTCTCGCATAAGTTATAACTTTTTTCTTTTTTTCTTTTTCTTTTTTTTCTTTTTTTTTTTTATATCATCTTAGCGTTGCATTGAAAAACACGAAAAAAAAAAAAAAAAAGAAAGGAATAAAAGCAATTGCGAGGCGTCGATTTTTTTCTACTTTTTATTTCTTCCTCTCCTATTTCTTTTTTCTCTTTTTTTTCTTCTTCCTCTTTTTTTTTTTTTTTTTCACTTTTCTCACTTTTTCATATTTCTCTCGTAATATTTACTCAATAATATATTTCGTTTCCTTTTCCCTCGTAGAGTTTTCTCCTTTTTTCTTCGACAAATTCTTTACGAAACTTCACTTTATCTTTTAACGACGATCGTACCTTTCCCGAGAGATAGAGAGAGAGAGAGAGAGAGAGAGAGAGAGCGCGAGAGAGAATCACTTTCTCTCCCCTTACTTTTTCATCGAAGGATCCACGAAGCGCGCGCCTCGAGCTCCGCGGTGTTACTGGATGCTGCCGACAAAGTTACGCGCACGGACGAACACCCCCGCGCGTCCGCCCACCCACCTCCTCCCCCGTTCAACCCCGTCCAGCCGCGTCCGCGCACCCTCGTTCACTCTCGCTCGCGACCAGACCGTCCTCCTCCCATGCTCCCTTTTTCTCGCCACCCATCTACACCCCCACCTTACAATCCACCCCTCCTCTCTCTTCCCCCTGCCCCCTACCCCTTATTCACTCGTTGCTTCGTGCAAGCTCGATAATCTTCGTTCGAGTTGACGACGCCGAATCTTCAGACTGAACGAAGTTAGAAAAGGGGCTTATAGATAAGGACTATGAAATAAAGAGAGAGAGAGAGAAAGAAAGAGAGAAAGAGAAAGAAAAAGACGGACGTAGGGATAGTTAGAAGAGAGAGAGAGAAAGCTTTTTTGTCTGCGACGAAGATTGGAGTACTTCCGGTTGGCTGCACGACGACGCGCGCGATATGCATCCGGTCGGTACAGCCTCCTTCTTGCGAGAACGATTATTCGAGATTAACGAAGCGCAGTCGCAACCCGTGCTCTCTTTTCGTTAAATCTCTTCTTCTTCTCCTTTAACCTCTGAACCCTCCTTTTCTCTCGCTGCGTGTCTTTTTTTTTCTCTTTTTTTTTTCTTTTCCTTTATTATTAATTACTTTTTCTCTTTTGCTCTGTTTTTTCATTCTTCTTCTTGTTCTTCTTTTTCCCCCTCCCCCCACCCCGATCAAAAGAAATTAATAAACGTTAATTAAAGTTATAACCGAATATCGAAATTTCGATATAAACGTGCACGGCGTTTCAAAGCTTGGAGTAATATTTTTAATATCCAGTTCTAGATCGTAATTCATCAATCCCGATGTTAATATCTTTATCGACTGGCCAATAAGCTTACAGTTTCTTTTTTTTTTTGTATTATTATTATTATTATTCCCATCTCTTTTGTCGCGAAAATCACGGTTCGATGTTAGTTAATGAATTTTTCAAAATGAATCGTTCCCGTTCGATTATTCGCGTTTCTACGCGCGAAAGATGCAATTTGTTTTGCTGGTAGTAATCCCTCTCCCCCTGGTGGTGGGTAGAAAAAGAAGAAGAGGGGGGCGGGAAGAGGAAAGAATAAAATAATATTTTATCTCGTTATATTATTTGATAACGAACGGAATATGATTTCTTTTATTAAATATCGCAGAACGTACCTATACGTTAATTAATAAGCCATATATTAGAATCTCGTTTTTTCTACTTCCTCGGTCCAATCTAATCTCACCTGTCCCATTCGTTTCGAGCAAAAGAGTTTAATTAGCCGTAACAAATTTTGCTTTGATAGGACATCTCAAGTTGGGATGATCATCGTCGTTAGGCCGGAATAGATAGAGTACGATGTTGAAATTTACGGACGAGATTGTAATTAGCATAGCGTGAAACTTAGGATACAGTTTCCAAGTGAGTTTGGTCGACGACTGCGTTACCGAACGTGTAACGTTTGCAAAGGCGGTATAGTTAAAGGCTAATTTGTAGTGTAGGGACAAGCACAGCACGTGATCGTATAGAAAGTAGCTCGTTAGATCGGTTGGTTCAGGTAAAAGCCTAATTAGCATATCAGTTGATTGGCCGTTAGAGATGGCTCGTTGAACGATATTCCTGTTGCTTTAGGCGGTTTGTCGTCTGTGATCGACGGTCACAATGAGTCACACGTCAATCGTAGGATCATACATAAGCTTATTTTTATCCCTGCTATCGCACTGAAACTCTCCCGTAATCCTTTCTACCCTTTTAATTCCTTGCACCGATTTTTCTATCAATCTATTTATTTTTCTTTGATAAATACAAGTATACGCCTAATTATTCTATATAAACGAATTTACCGGACTAGTTATACCATGTCTCACCTGTTGTCGAACTTATTTAACTAAGTTTAGTAGGGATACTTATTTACCTGTCTGTCCGGATTGTCCCAGAAGTCCTACCTGTTTCCTATCTGTCTATTACGCAATATACGATTTACTCTAATTTCGTTGTCATCATCCCTGTACCTTTGAGTTTATTCCTCGATTTCTTACGTCGTGCCCTTTCGATCGTATCTACCAAGAAAGTATTACATTTATTTCGTAATTGCTAGGAAACTTAATCATAGATACGAGTTATACTATAACTGAGTATCGAGTCAAGATTCTACTGCACGATGTTATGATCTCTTATTTCAGATTTCTAGATTGTCGTTTCTAGATTGAAGTTTACTACTCGAGTTTCTACTTAGAAAAACGTATCAAAGAAAGAGATTAGATTTTTATTATATAATATTAATTAATCTTTTTGCGGAATTAAATAAAATCTCAGATCATGCAATTTGAAAGTCGAATCTAATCGATTAGGCATATGGTGTTAGGAAGAAAGTCTTGGAGAAGTTACTTCGCTTATTTGCATAAATGAAAGATTAGAAATAGACGTAATTTTGTTCAATAATTATAATATTTCAATTTAGAGATATCGCGCGTCATTCTAATTTACAAGTTACCTACATTGTTCGAATCAAAATGAGCAAACACAAATGAGCGAAATTATATGTCAAAGGATATTACCTGGATTAGTAAAATGCACGTTATTTAATGTTTCAGGATCAAGTAGGACGAGTTACTGAAACTAATTACCGTGCGTTAGAGAAAGACTCTAAAGCTTTTCAAAACGCACACAATTTCACATACACTTATTCAGATTTAAACATAGTTTTCAATGACAATAGATTAAAATATGATGATTGGATAACTTTCATAAAAAAGAAATTTATTCTTCTTTTCGTTACTTGTGGTCGTTTTATTTTGTATTTTTATGCGCGATAATGCTTTTTCGATAAAGCGTCATAGTGTCAACTATTACATTTCCTGTGGGAATGAGTGGATTGAAGAAAATGAATAAAATCTTTTCCTTCCTCGAAGATGACTCACTCGCGTCTACTCTATACAGTTATTTTCCTAAAACCCCTCGTTCCACTTACAACTATGTTTTTTTTTGGCATACGTATATCCACTTATTTGTGGTTCACATTGAATATGGATATTTATGTAAATATTTGCGTACACGTAAAAGTGTATTTGATGGCTTTACCGACATCTTTATTTATAAATAATATATGTTACGTAATGCTGCACTATTTTTTGAAGACAAGAAAAACACACGTCGTAGATTTATCTGAAATATTTGCTTCATTTACTTGCAACGCGAAAAATTATTTTATTTATGAACGATAGAAGATTTCCATCGTAGAAAAGTTCCTTGATGATATTTACGATTTTTTTGTTCTAGTCTAGGTCGTTTCACATTGAAATTCACGAATCAAACTTCGAAATGGGCTACCATGGGAAAAGTTTTTCTTTTTAGAAATAAAAGTTTATCATCGCGCGGACGGACGTATGCTCGCGGCATTAACTTATACGACAACGATGAGATCATTATGAATTGTTTTAAATTCAACGAAAGAGTTTTAATCACGAAGTAAAATATTTGTGCGATGTTACTGTATCGTTCATTTAAGTTTTTCACCTTCCTTATCAAATTCAATTCGATAGATAATAACCATGATGTTGTAAGATCGTAAGTTTTTCTTTGTTATTGAAGTTCGTATCTTTCCAGAATTATGAGGTAGTTTCGAACAAATAAAGAGGAACTTGAAATCGTTTTTAATATAAAAAGAAATAAAGTAAGAAAGAAAAAGAGAGAGGAGGAGGAGGAGGAGGAGGAGGAGGAAGAAAGGCAGTATAGATTTTTCGAAGCATCGAGAATAAGTTCAAAGCAAGAACTGATTTTTCAAGACGTTTTGAACATATATACCGTGGAAAAGAATCTTCGATTGATTATCATAATATGACAATTTCGGTACTTTTTTCAGTATGCTTCGTCGCGTAAAAAGAAAAATCCTGCACAACCGATCACAAAGTAAACCATTGTGGAAGAACTTTTTCTTTGGTACACCATCTCTAACAATAATAACTTCGAAAGTAACTCGACCTGTAACAATAAGTTATCTTTAAACGAAACGAATAGAATCGCGAGATCCATTCTCATGAGTTTTCTTACTGCAATAAGGGAAACTTCATGATTGGCAATCGAATGAGAATCGACGAGCGCGAAGACAAGGAAGAAATAAACTTCTTCGATGAGTTTCTCTGATTTTACGATATTATCTATTTGAGAGGGAGAGAGAGAAAGAGAGACGATCGAAGAAATCGAATCTCAGGTTGAATTTTCGATAAATCATCATAATACACTCACTTTACTATTTTCCGTAAGTTGTATATGAGTCTTATAGAATGAAATTGCTCCATTTCACCTCCTTTTCATTCACGTTTCTATTATCTCTTACACACAAATATGAAACTCGGGGTTCTCTTGTGTAAGCATATCATTATCATTATTACATTATTATCACTATTACTATCACTATTAATATTATTATTAGTATTATTATTATTATTGTTATTATTATTGTTATTATTATTGTTATTATTGTTATTATTATTATTATTATTATTATAAGTTGTATATTTCGCATGAGTGTTTTTCATCTCTAATTTGAAATGATATTGTTACGTCAAA